CAGGCAATCCACTCACCTCAGCCTCCCAAAGCATGGGATTACAGGCTGAGCCAACGAGCCTGGCTGAGAGGATTGCTTGAGCCCAGTGGTTTCAGACCAGCCTGGGTAACCTAGTGAGGCCTCCTTTCTACATTTAAAAAAACATTGTAGGAAATTAAAATAGCCTTTGGTTCCAGCTATTTGGAAGGCTGAGGCGGAAGGATTGTCTGAGTCCAGCAGGTCAAGGCTGTGGTAGCCATGAGTGTGCCACTGCACCGCAGCCTGGGCAACAGAGTGAGACTCCAACTCAAAAACAAAACAGCCGGGTATGGTGGCTCAAGCCAGTAATCCCAGCACTTTGGGAGGCTGAGGTGAGAGAATTGCCTGAGCTCAGGGGTTTGAGACTAGCCTGGGCAACTTGGTGAGACTTTGATTCTACAATAAATAAATAAATAAGCCAGGCGTGGTGCACACCTGTAGCTCCAGCTACTTGGAAAGTTGAGACGGAAGGACCACCTGAGTCCAGCATGTTGAGGCTGGGGGTGCTGTGAGCATGCCACTGCATTCCAGCCTGGACAACAGAGTGAGACTCCAACTCAAAAACAAAACAAAACAATAACCAAAGCCAAAAAACTTCCAAAGCAGCCTAGGAAAGGGGTTTTGAAAAAGGCACCATCTAGAGTAGCTAGCTGTACATGGGACTGCTTCTCATATCTCTAGGAGAGATGGTTACAGGAAGAATTCCTATATATTCCCAGATAGAACACTTCCAAACAATGGCTCTGACAGTAGTCATCTTTATTGAGTGCAGAATTCAGATTTAGTGGTAGCAGGTGAGCCCTAGGGCAGGTGGCTCCATGGGGGGAGGAGCTGGACTATCCCACTCCACTTCTCCAGGATCCTCCCAGCCCCCAGGCTGGTTTCCCTCAGCTCTCAGAGGCTTAGCAGCTCAGCGGGGGGGCTGGAACTGAACGTTTAGGGTTGTCTCCTTGACAAACACCTTCCTCTTTGGAAATGGCCTCACTCAGTCCTTGCAAGTCATCCAGCAGGACAGACAGGGAACCTGGGAAAGAAGACAAGAAAGGATGGGCACCAGACAAGACAAGGCTCTCATGGTTACCGTGCAGAGGGAACAGACCTGGCACAGGATATGAGGGCTGGGAGGAAGAAGGTTCTCTGGTGCAAGGTGAGTATGGATAGAAGAGGCTGGGAGAAGCCAGGTGCTGGTGGTTCATGCCTGTAATCCCAGCATTTTGGGAGGTGGAGGCAAGAGAATTGATTGCCTGAGCCCATGGGTTGGAGACCAGCCTGGGTAACTTGGTAAGGCCTTGTCTCCACAATAAATCAAAAAATTAACCGGGCATGGTGGTGTGCGCCTATAGTTCCAGCTACTTAGAAGGCTGAAGCTGAAGGATTGCCTGAGTCCACAGGTTGAGGCTGCAGTGGCCATGAGAGTGGCACTGTACTCCAGGTGGGCAACAGAGTGAGACTTCTACTCAAAAAAAAAAAAAAAAAAAAAAAAAAAAAGAGGCTGGGAGCCTCCGAGGATCACAGGGAATGACACCATGCATGCAAGAGCGTACCTTCATGGTTAGCCCATTACCTTTTATGGACTCCCTGGTGGACAGTGTGGCTTCTGGAGGTATAGATGCTGAAGACCCTGGAGGCCTGGAGCTGGACTCTGCAGGTTTCTCCTTAGCCAGCAGGGAAGGAAGAACTGCCAACAGTCGCTGCTGCTTGTAATGGGAGAGGAGACCCTCCTGCTGCAAGGTGGCCTGGGAAGGAGAGGGTTAAACGCCACCTAGCCCAAGTGGAGCCTCCCCATTCTCTTTCCCAACCTCTATCTATATTCAGCCCAAGACGGGCCCTGGTCTCTGCTGTTCCCTACCAGCATGAGGTTCTTGTCCCTTTCCAGTTCTTGCACACGCCGGGTTAGTCGCTGCCCCTCCTCCTTCCGGGCCTCATCCTGCAGACGCCTGAGCTCCTGGTTCCGCTCCTTTTCCCGAGTGGCTTTGTGCTGGATCTGGCGCAGGGAGACCACTACAGAGAAGCCAGGACACAGAGGAGACAGGTGTGGGTCAGCCCAGAGGCAGCCAGTCATTATGAAAACAAAGACTGAAATGATGGACAGGAATGCTGGGTCACTAGCTCTGTGAGTCTGTGGATTTTGTGTCACTTCTGAACAGTGGGAGTGGTGGGCTGATGCTCTAGGAGCCTGGGAATCTGTGAACACATAGTATCTTCCCCAAACCCAAACCATCCTGGAGCTCCTTGAGGGAAATCTGAATATGGACTTGATATTAGATTTTGTGCAATTAGTGTTCCTTTTCTTTTTCTTTTTTTTTTGAGTTGGAGTCTTACGTTGTTACCCAGGCTGGAGTACAGTGGAACGCTCACAGCCACTGCAGCCTCGACCTGCTGGGCTCAGGGGATCCTTCCACCTCAGCCTTTCAAGTAGCCAGAACTACAGATGTACACCACCACACCTGGCTAATTTTTTTTATTTATTGTAGAGATGAGGTCTCACCAGCCCAGGTTGGTCTCGAACCTGTGGGCTCAGGCAATCCTCTAACCTTGGCCTCCCAAAGTGCTGGGATTATAGATGTGAACAACCGCACCCAGCCTAGTTCCTTTTCTTAGAGTGTGATGATGGTATTGCAGCTATATGGAAGAATTTCCTACTTGTGGTGGAACAATCATGTTTATAATTTACTTTACATGATTCTAAAAAAATGTATATATAAATGTGCGAGTATACAGATAAGAGATCAAATGTGGTAAATGTCATAGAAAAAATATATGAATATTCATTATAATTTTTTTTTTTTTTAATTGGGGTCTCAGTCTTGAGGCTGGAGTGCAGTAGCATGATCATGGCTCACCACAGCCTCTACCTCCTGGGCTCAGGTGATCCTTCCGCTTTAGCTTCCTGAGTAGCTGGGACTACAGGCACATGCCACCACAACTGGCTTATTTTTTATTTTATTTTTTTGTATAGACAAGGTACTCGCTATGTTGCCCAGGCTGGTCTTGAACTCCTGGGCTCAAGCAATCCTCCTGCCTCAGCCTCCCAAAGTGTTGGAAGTACTGGCGTGAGCCATGATGCCCAGCCTCCTTTTTTTTTCCCTTGAGACTAGGTCCCACTCTGTCACGGAGGCTGGAGTGCAGTGGCACAATCATAGCTCACTATAACCTTGACCTCCTGGGCTTAAGCAATTCTCTCTCCTCAGCTTTCCAAGTAGCTATGACTAAAGGCACACGCCACGTCACCCAGCTATTTTTTGAATTTTTGTAGCGTCAAGGTCTATGTTGCCCAGACTGGTCTCAGGTCTCAGACTGACCTCAAGCAATCTTCCTGCCTCAGCCTCCCAAAGTGCTGGGATTACAGGTGTAAGCCACCATGGTTGGCCTTTCCTGATCCTTTTAACTTGTCTAGGTGTTTGAAAGTTTTGCTGGGGGATAATTGCTGGTGTTAGATGTGGAATGTGGTGACTGGGAAGGGGACTGTGGGCTCTGGAGCCGGTCATATGCTATTTCTTGATCTGATGCTGGCTACATGGGTGTATTCACCTTGTAAGAATGCATCTGTGCCAATTTTTGATACCTTCATTACTTGCATACTTCAGAAAAAAGCTTTAAAACAAAATTTGAGGGAGAAGTCCCTTATGTCTCAATACTCCTTTCCTCCTGGAGGGCCCATGTTGGCAAATCTCACCAGCCTTGGCATGCTCCCTTTGAGCCTCGTTCAGTCTTTTCTCCGTGTCTGACAGCTGCTCCCGCAGCCGAGTTTCCACTTCGGTCACCTTCTCTTGCAGAGCTGGGGTGAAGGTACAGATTGGGGAGGGGGTGTCAGGAGGAGCCTTGGCTCTAGTTCCCATCCCTTCTCCACGGGGAGCACCCATTTCCCCTCCCCACACCTTTCCCATAGATCTCCTGCTGCTGGGTCAGCTCCTGCCGCAGACTGGCAGCCTCCTCTGTGCTCTCCTCCTGGCCCTGGCGAGCCGCTTCCAGCTGCAGCCCCAGACTGGCCAGGGACTCCTGGGTCTGCTGCAGCTCCTGCTCCAGCTGCTGGGCCACCTGGCTTAGCTGCTGCCGCTCTGCCTCCCCTGGAAGGAAGTAGCACCAGCTCAGGCCTCTCCACCACCAGGCCCCAGCTTTCCCTTCTCTCCACCCCCATGGCACCCTACTCCAGAATCAGGTGTACCTTGCTCCCGGGCCCGGCCCACCTCCTGCTGGATAAGGCGGGCACTCAGTTGCAGTTCTGCATCCAGGCGGTTCCGTTCTTCCCGCAGTTGCTGCAACTCAAGGCTCACGTCCGGGACCGGTACGGATGGGAGAGGGGGACAGCTGGGACAGGAAGGAGAAACAGAGTCAGGGGAAATCATCCAACTGCCTGACTCCTAAGCCCCCATCCCTCCTCAGTCCTCATGGTTTGGGGTCCCAGCAGACTACACTCTGAAGCCCCACCACACACACACCACCCCCATCCACCTCGAAGTGCCCAAACTTCACCTCTCCTGGCGCAGCTGAGCAAGGGCCAGCTTTCGAGCCATCAGGCCTAGGAGTGAAAAGGCAGAGAGCAACAGAGATGAGTTTGCAGGGGAGAAAAAGGGAAACAGGGAGGAAAAGGAAAGAGATGCAAGGACGGGTGAGGAAAGGAAGGTGGATGGATGTGGGCTCACAAAGAACTGAGCCAGGAAGAGGGTCAGAGCCGGCGGGGGCAGGAAGTAAGATGTGGCTTGCAGTTGCCCTACATACCCTGAATGGTGTGGACCTTGCGGACAGCATAGCTGAGTCGGTTGCTGAGGCTGGGAAGCTGGGTTGCAGCCTGTTCTACCTTGGCCATAGTGCTCTGGAGCCAAACCTGGGAGCTGGAGAAGGCACGAGTCGCTGATCCTCCACCCTCCCCTCATCCCCAGAGGACTTACAGGGTCTTATACAGTCAACTCTCTCTAGCCTGTACTGTTATACATGTGAGGAACCCATAGCTTCCATCAATTCTAAGGGGCCTTTGCCCTGAGAATGCATTAAATGACCATACATCTTTTCAAGCAACCTGCAAAGCTTATTTCTCACAACCAGTGTTTTGTTCATATTATGCATCAGAGTTCAAAGTTATCCTCTCCAAAGAACCCAGGAGCCTAGATCCTCTGGTGCCTATGAAGGGCAGGTCCATGTGCTTTCCCAGCTGTCTGTGTCAGAAACAGGACCAACACGGCTCACGAAAACTGAGAAACTTAAACAGGTTCCAGAAAGAGGCCAAGGGAGCATCTGGGGCACAGCTGGGACTTCCTCAAGAAAGTCCACATCTGTACCAGCAGAAAACACATGGTGACAAAGGCTTGCAGACGTATCCCCAGCAGCACGGCAAAGATCACTTTGACCTGGAAATTGAATAAATGCTTCCACCCCCTACCGAAGCTCTTATTAAAGTCATTTTCTGGTAAAGTCTCCAAGTTAGCTAGAGATATCAACAAACCTGGCAACAATCTGAGTTTGGACTTGTTTAACCCTGGAGGCCTTCAGACAATGAATCATTAGCAAGAACCATTTCTGTGATCTCCTGGTACCAAAGTAAAACCCTGTACACAGTGTGTCTTTTCGTTCACCTGAAGGTAGGAGACACAGGCAATATATTGAATCTGGGTGGTGGTTCATCATAACTAGTCTAATTCCATACATGCTTGAAATTTTCCATAATTTTTTAAAGCTGAATTAGTTCCCAAGTTACAAACCCAAGAGAAGGAAATGGTGGGTAAGTACTCATCTTCCATCATAATTTTGCTAAACCAAAATTGTTACCTGACCCATTAAGAACAGCCTTGTGATCTCAGTAAACATTTCCAAGTCCATCACCATGCTAAGAGCAACAAATAGACCCCCCGCCTTGGGTACTACGATGTTCAAGGCTGAGGAGAGGTTGTTACCAGCACACAGAAGCTTTGATTTTTCCTCAGAGGTCTTTCTGAAGATTATATAACAACTATCGGTTATAAATCAACAAAAAATGGCTAGGAGAGACACAGGCTAACAATTGATTTACAAAGAAACTGGCTTACACTTTTTTTTTTGAGTCAAAGTCTCACTCTGTCACCCAGGCAGGAGTGCAGTGGCACGCTCACAGCCAACGCAGTCTCAACCTGCTGGGCTCAGGCGATCCTTCTGCCTCAGCCTTCCTAGTAGCTGGAACTACAGGCATGCACCACCATGCCCAGCTAATTTTTCTTGGTTTATTGTAGAGATGAGGTCTAACCAAGTTGCCCAGGCTGGTCTAGAACCCCTGGGCTCAAGCAATTCTATCACCTTGGCCTCCCAAAGTGCTGGGATTATAGATGTGAGCCGCCATGCCCGGCCACTGGCTTACACTTTAGATGGAATATCTAGTAAGCAAGTAGGGGCACAGCTTTAAATAAATAGACTAACTTTTGTTCCAACAAAACAGGGCATGCCTGTAAAAATGTAAAGAAAAAAAGAAAGGAAGATTGAGTGTTCACACTCCCCATCCCTGAAAGTGGGGACCCTCGCTCAAGCTATTACTAGACCAAACTGCAGGAGGAGGCACGGTCTCTCAACTTGAGCCCATCATGCATTGGGAATTCTAACAAGTGATCATGGTACGAATGAAGAGGGGAATGCTCCGGGAAAAACACACACAGAAGGTTAAATTCATCCAGCCCTGGATCCACTGGTGGTCAGTTTTCGGCCCCTCTTGCCTGAGGCACCTGAACTTCAAGGTATCTGGGAAGCCAGGAAAACAGAAATACTACTCCACCTGCCCCTCTACCCAGATACCTGCTGACAGCATTGGTCACAAGCCTCAGCTGCTCCTCAGCCATGGCTGTCTGCTGCTGCCACCGGTGCTTGGCCTCTCGATCACGGCTTAGCTCCATCTGAAGGGCCTGGGGAGGATGCAGTCAAGGAAAGAGTCCTTCCCTGGGGCCTAGTCACAGCTCTGGGCCAGGGGCTCCCTCACCCTCCCTGAACCTCTTCCTGGCTCAGACTCAGACCTTGGCGCCCATCCGCTCCACCTCCACCTCTGCGGCTTTGTCCTGCAGGGAACGCTGCAGGATGGCCTGCTCCTGGCTCTGGGCTGTCACTTGTTCCTGCAGCTTAGCCACCTGGGGGAGGAGAAGGAGCTGGGCAGGGCCCTTTAGAGGCCTGAAAACTAAGGGGGACATTGGGAGTGAAAGGGTAGGTGCAGAGGTCTCTGCAAGAATGCCACACAGAGAGATAGAAGCTCAGGTTCTGAAGAACAGAGTCTGAATCTAGTGTTCCTTCCAGAGCATGTTCCATGTACCCACACCTTGAGGAACTGCCTCAACCCACCCACAAGACCCACCAGCTACCCATCCTCAGATGCTGCCACCTCCTCAGAGAAGTCATTCCAGACCATTCTACCTGACCCACCCCGCAGTCTTTCTCTGTCATGTTATCTTTTGAATTTTTCTTTAAAACACATATAATTACCCAATGTTATCTACTTGCTTGTTCCGTGTCTCTGCACTAGAATGCAAGCCCCATGAGGGCAGGTACTTGGTTTTGTTCAGGGTTGTGTGCCAGCATGTGGTAACCACTCAATAAACAATGTTTGAGTGGATGCGATCCTTATATAAGGAGCAAGGAGCTGGGGGGGAAACTATAGAGAGAAAAGAGAGTGCAGTGACCTGTCCCTTCAGCTGCTTAACAGTGTCCCTGTGTTCCAGCTCCTGGGCCTTAAGCTGCACCATGAGGGCAAACACCTTCTCCCGCCAGCGGTTCAGCAGAGACCGACACTTCCTTGTGAACTCGGGCTCCAGGGAATCTGATGGTTGAACCTGAGGGTAGGAGGAAAGTGTGGGCTCCTGAAGGAGTAGAGGAAGGAGGTGGTGTCTTTGTTTCTTCTGAGCAACAGGAATCACAGCAAAAGCAGTTCACAGAAAGAATGATCCAGGCACACTGACCCCTCCTGCTTGATGGGAGGACAGCAGTGTAGGGTACAGCGGAGGGTGACAGGGTCTGGGAGAGAGCCTTACCTTCCTGGTCAGTTCCTCCTCCTGCAGGGCGAGGATATGCGTGAGACTCTGCACCCGCACCTGCAGCAGCTCCACGGTGGCATGCAGGCCGTCCCGGTCCTCCTGCAAGTGCTACGGGTAGCGGGAGAGTGGCCCCTCTGAAAGCCTCCATGCCTGCTTCAGATACCACCTTCTCTCCCAGGGGCTGTGCTCTCCACTCTCCTCCAGGGTCCACCCCTGGCCCCAACATAGATGCACCCCTCCAGTCTTACCCGTATGGTTTCCAGAAGCTTCTGTTGCTCTGGTTCCCATGCCTGGCTGTGAACCTCAGGAGGAACTCGTTCCCCCACATATTTTCTTAGATTCTCAACCAGGATCACCTGAGCCTCTAAGTCTTCTTGGGTCTTGCTAGGGTTGGAGTGGGAATGGGACAGCCAACAGTGTGGTGCCCTGGAGACCCACCACACCACCAGCTGCTGGGCCCCGTTTAACACCCATCCTCGCCCACTTACCTCAGCTGCTTTCGCAGAAGCTCAGCCTCACTTTGAGCCAGAGCCAGTTCCTTGGTCTCTTCTGCCCTCTTGGTCTTCAGATTATTCAGAGACTTCTCCAAGCCCTCAGCCTTGTTGGTCAAACTAGAAAGAGCCTCCTGGTGAGCCTGTGTCAAGGAGGACAGCTGCAAAGAGAAGAGGAGGCTCTGCAGGGCCAGCTGACTCCTATACTGGCCTTCCAAACCTCCCCCTTCCTTGGCCTTGTCCCTTTACTCCCACTTTCTGTGACCTGAGTGATCAGTCACCCAATTGCACATGGAGGCTGTCCCTGGTACCTTGCTCTCCCAAGTTGCCCTCTAGCTCAACATCAGGTATGTCTCCCAAAGATACACCCTCACCTCTCCATCTCCACATCTCCATTGCAACCAACTTAAGGTAAGTCACCCTCATCTCTTGCCTGGACAATGGCAACCATTTCCTAAGTAGTCTTTAAAAACCTTCAGCGACTCACCACAGCATTTAGAGCAAAATCCAACATCTCCCATGGCTGTGGAGTCTGATGACCAGGCCTCTGCCCACTTCCTGAGCTCATCCTCCATCTTCCTCTACTATTCTCCGCTCCAGAGAGGCTGCTGAGAACTAGACAGTGGCTCCTTCTCATTCTATGGATCTCGCAGACCCCAGGCAACCACTCCTCCTCAGGGAAGCCTCACTGGGCCCTCTAATCCCCCTGTGCCACCCCACCTATCACCTGTTAATGTCCTCCTAAGCACTTAGCATCTGACAGTGTCTGGCTTACATATGTGTTTACAATCATGCCCCATTGGAAAGGAAGCTCAAGGAAGGGTGGAATCTTGTGTCTCTTCCTCACTATACCACAAACAGTTAGAGGGTTGTCAGAGCCACCAAGAGTCATAGGACGGACTGGGAAAGGAGAGCAAAGTGGTTACCCTGCTTCCCTGTCTGCTGCCCTCTAGCCCTTTCTCCATATCACAGTAAAGTGATTTTGGGGGGAAATGAATCATAAAATTGATCTTTTTAGATATAAAATACAAATCTGCACTCCCTGCCTAAAATCTCTCAATAAGCCAGACATAGTGGCTCAAGCCTGTAATCCTAGCACTTTGAGAGGCTGAGGTGAGAGAATTGCTTGAGCTCACAGGTTCGAGACCAGCCTGGGCAACATGGCGAGACCTCACCTCTATAATAAATAAAGAAAAATAGCCAGGCATGGTAGTATATGGCTGTATTTCCAGCTACTTGGAAGGCTAAGGTGGAAGAATCACCTGAGACCAGCAGGTCGAGGTTGCGGTGGCTGTGAGCAGTGTGCCACTGCACTCCAGCCTGGGTGACAAAGCGAGACTCCGACTCAAAAAAACAAACAAGCTGGGCAACTTGGTAAGATCTTGTCTCTATAATAAATCAATTAGCTGGGCATGGTGGACGCGTCTGTAGTTCTAGCTACTTGGAAGGCTGAGGCGGAAGGATCGCCGGAGCCCAGCAGGTCGAGGCTGCGGTGGCCAGGAGCAGCCACTGCACTCCAGTCTGAGTGACAGAGTGAGACTCCAACTCAAAAAAAAAAAAAAAAAAAAAGATAAAGGAAGGCTGAGGCAGAAGGATCACCTGAGTCCAGCAGGTCGAGGCTGCAGTGGCTGTGAGCTTGCCACTGCACTCCAGCCTGGGCGACAGAGTGAGACTTTGACTCAAAAAAACCCAAACCCGGCCGGGCTCGGTGGCTCAGCCTGTAATCCCAGCACTTTGGGAAGCTGAGGTGAGTGGATTGCCTGAGCCCACGGGTTCAAGACCTGCCTGGGCAACTTGGCGAGACCTCATCTCTACAATAAATCAAAAAATGAGCCGGGCATGGTAGCACGCGTCTGTAGTTCCAGCTACTTGGAAGGCTAAGGCAGAAGAATCACTGGAGCCCAGTGGGTCGAGGCTGCGGTGGCCAGGAGCGGCCACTGCACTCCAGTCTGGGTGATAGAGTGAGACTCCAACTCAAAAAATAAAAATAAAAAATAAATAAAAAACCCCAAACCCCCATCCAAAAAACAAACAAACCTCTCAGTGACTGGGGACAAGGGCTCACACCTGTAATCCCAGCACTGTGAGAGGCGGAGGTAAGATTGCCTCAGCCCAGGAGTTTGAGGCCAGCCCGGGCAACTTAGTGAGACCTTGTCTCTACAATAAATTTAAAAATCAGCAAGATGAACCAGTTGCGGTACCTCATGCCTATAATCCTAGCACTTTGGGAGGACGAGGTGAGAGGATTGCCTGAGCTGAGGGTTCGAGACCAGCCTGGGCAATTTGGCGAGACTGCATCTCTATAATAAATCAAAAAATTAGCCGGGCATGGTAGCACGTGCCTGTAGTTCCAGCTACTTGGAAGGTTGAAGCAGAAGGATCGCCTGAGCCCAGCAGGTTGAGGCTGCAGTGGCCAGGAGCATGCCACTGCCCTCCAGCCTGGGTGACAGAGTGAGACTCCAAAAAAAAAAAGAAAAAAATTTGCAAGATGTAGTGGCACATGTCTGTTGTTCTAGTTACTTGGAAGGCTGAGGCAGAAGGATCGCCTGAGCCTAGCAGGCCAAGGCTGCGGTAGCTGTGAGAGTGCCACTGCACTCCAGCTGGGCGACAGAGTGAGACTCCAACGCAGAAAGCAAACAAAAAAAAAACCCTCTCAATGGTTGCTCATTGCTCATGAGGGAAAGTATCAAGTTCTGAACTGGCTGAGGTTTCCCCTGAGCCCCAGTGCTCCTCACCCCTGCAGCTCTTCATCCCTGCACTCCAGTCCTCGGTTTCCTCCCATCCCAAGCCTTCACGTGCTGCCCCACCAAGTGTTCACCAGCTCCTAGTGCCACCCCAGACACCTCTCCACCAGCCAATTCCTATTCAGCACAAATATCACCTTATTGTTAAGCTTCTTTCATGAACCTAAGGGCTGTTTATACTTTTCTTTGAACTACCTCTGCTGTCCAATTTCTAGGTACATATTATATATTAAGGATATTAGCCTTTTCCTGTAATATAAACTATAAATATTCTTCTCTAGTTAATCATGTGTCTTTTAACTTTTTTGGCTCATTCCTAGTGTTAAAAGGTTGATGAATCAATCTTTTCTTTTATGGCTTCTTGATTTTGACTCACAGGTAGAAAGGCCTACCTACTCCACTTCAAGATTATAAAGGAATTCACTCATGTTTTCTTCCAGCGCCTTTATGGTCTCATTTCCTGATGATTGGTTAGGGTAACTTTCCCTAAACCCCAAACTAAGTTAGTGCTCTCTTGTTCTTTTCTTTCAAGGCACTTCTCCCGATGGCAATTAATTATAATTAAATTAAATGTGGAGGCTGGGCATGGTGGATCACATTTACAATCCCAGAACTTTGGGAAGCTAAGACAGAAGGATCTTGAGGTCAGAAGCTGGAGACCAGCCCGGACAATATACCAAGATCCCATCCCAATAAAAAATGAAAAATTTAGCCAGGCATGATGGTACACACCTGTAGTCCCAACTACTTATGAGGCTGAGGCAGGAGAATCCTTTGAGCCCAAGAGTTTAAGGCTGCAGTGAAGTATGACTGCACCACTACACTTCAGCCTGGGTGACAGAGGGAGACCCTGTTTCCAAAAAAATAAAACAAAAAATAAATGTGGGCCAGGTGTGGTGGCTCATGCCTGTAATCCCAGCACTTTGGGAGGCCGAGATGTAGGACTGCTTGAACCCAAGTGTTCAAGACCAGCAAGGGCAACATTTCTACAAAAACATTTAAAAATTGGCCGGGTATGGTGGCATGCACCTACAGTCTCAGGTACTCCGGAGGCTGAGGTAGAAGGATCACCTGAGCACAGGAGGTTGAAGCTGTGGTGAGCCATGATCATGCCACTGCACTCCAGACTGAGTGACAAAGTGAGACTCCGATTCAAAAAATAAAATAGCTGGGTGCAGTGGCTCACACCTGTAATCCCAGCACTTTGGGAAGCAGAGACAAGAGGATTGTCTAAGCCCAAGGGTTCAAGACTTGCCTGGGCAACTTGGCAAGACCCTGTCTCTACAAAAAAAAAAATAACTATCCAAGCATAATGGCACAAGCCTGTAGTTCCAGCTATTTGGAAGGCTGAGGCAAAAGAATTGTCTGAGCCCAGCAGGTCGAGGCTGCATTAGCAGTGAGTATGCAACTGCATTCCAGCCTAGGTGACAGAGTGAGACTCTGACTCAAAAAATAAATAAAAATAAATAAAAAATAAACAAAATAATGTGGAACATGTGTGCCCCCATGAGCCTGTCAGCTCCATCCATGAGGTAGGAATTAGGCTGACTTGGTCACTGAGTATCAAGGATCACAGAGTCAGCAGTCAGTTTGCAAACTGCCTAATCTCCCTCTCCCATTGCACTATGGCACCCCATGCCCACTTTCCTCACTATCCCCTACAATGCTCCCAGATGAATTGGGTACCTGGAGTAGAGTAGGGGGGCAAACTACTTCCTACTGGAAGGTGAAGGAGAGCTTCAAAGTGGTGACAGGTCACCTGATTCCTGGGAAAACGTGTAACCTGAGTAAGACCCAAATACCAGATATCCAAGTTTTTCTTCTTTCCAGGTCGCCTGTGTTTTTCTCCTTCACCAAAGGTCTCATCACTCCACTGCTCACAGAATGGGGAGGGGGTCTCTTCTGCACCACCTGCTCTTTGCTTGGCAGCTACTGCCCAGCCTCCTAGATAGGATTTTGAAACCTTGCCACCCCCATATTCACCTGCTCTTGATGCAGCTTCTGAACCTCCTCCAGCTCCCGCTGGCTCCCCTCTTCCATGTTCTTCCGGACGACCTCGGCCCCAGTCAAGGCAGCACGCAGGCCCTCAGCCTCAGCTTGGCTGGCCTTCTCTGCCCGTGCGAGAGCCTCCAGCTCCATGGCCTGGGTTTCCAGCCTCATCTTCTGCTGCAGCGAGGTTTCCCGCAGGACCCGGGCCTCCTCCTCCAGCCGCCGCAGCTCTTGCAGCTGCCAAGAGATCAGCTCAGCCTGCTGGCTTAGGGCCTGTGACCCCTCCAGCTCCAGGGACCTTTAAAGACAGGTTGGAGCAGGTGAGACTTGTCTCTGGTGCTGGGAGGGTGGCCAAGGACATAAATGAAGACAGGAGAAGGAAAAGAGGACCCCTTTGCTCCTGTGTGGGGAAGTGGAGGGAATGAAGCTGGGGCACAGCAATCTCTGCACTTACCTCATCATTCACTGAGGTCCTACTGAGCCTTAGGTCCAGTGCCTAGGCTCACAGGAACTAAAGGCTGAGATCATGGAACATAATCTCTCTAGAGAGAACTACATACCGGCAGATGTATTAAACATCAAGTGTGCACATCATCAGGCCACACATTCTAAGTAGAAAGGCTGGAAGAACAGACTTCTGAATTCTAACTTAAGGGCAAGGAGAAGTTTGAGGGAGGCATGGGTGTAAAGAGGTCATGAGTCTCCAGCATCAGCATGTTGAGGCCAGATGCTAGTAAAATGCATTCACTTAGTGTTCAGGTATACTTTATGAGGAGTCTGAAAGGACAGTACATTAATAAATTACACAGTGCCAACCCTTGGAGAATCTAGTTCACTGGTGTCATGTAAAGTTTAAACCAGCTTGGAACATGGCTCTTGAGACAGCTCCCTGAGACCCAGAACTACAGTGATTTTTTTTTTTTTTTTTTGAGTTGGAGTCTCACTCTGTTGCCCAGACTGGAGAGCAGTGCTATACTCCCAGACACCACCGCCTCAACCTGCTGGGCTCAGGTGATCCTTCTGTCTCAGACTTCCAAGTGGCTGGAATTACAGGCATGTGCCACCATACCCAGTTAATGTTTTTATTTATTGTAGAGATTAGGTCTCGCCTAGTTGCCCAGGCTGGTTTCGAACCCAGGGGCTTAGGTAATCCTCTCACCTCAGCCTCCCAAAGTGCTGGGATTATAGGCATGAGCCATCGTGCCCGGTTGGGATTATTATTATTATTATTATTATTTTTTAAGAAGTAGGGACCAGCCCGGCACAGTGGTTCACACCTGTAGTCCCAGCACTTTGGGAGGCTGAGGTGAGAGAACTGCCTGAGCTCAGGGGTTGGAGACCAGTCTAGGCAACTTGGTAAGACCTCATCTTTATTATATAAATCAAAAAATTAGCTGGGCGTGGTGGTGCTCGCCTGGCTGAGGTGGAAAGATTGCCTGAACCCAGCAGGTGGAGGCTGCATTGGCCATGAGCATCCCATTGCACTCCAGTCTGGGTGACAGTGAGACTCCAACATTAAAAAAAAAGAGCCGGGCTAGGTAGCTCAGCCTGTAATCCCAGCATTTTGGGAGGCCAAGGCGAGTGGATTGCCTGACCTTGCAGGTTCGAGACCTACCCGGACAACTTGGTGAGACCTCATCTCTACAATAAATAAAAACTTAGCTGGATATGGTAGCACACGCCTGTAGTTCCGGCTACCTGGAAGGCTGAGGCGGAAGGATCGCCAGAGTCCAGCAGTAGAGGCTGCGGTGGCCAGGAGCGTGACACTGCACTCCAGTCTGGGTGACAGTGAGACTCCAACTCAAAAAAAAAGAAAAAAAAGGAAAAAAAAAAAAGAAGTAGGGACCTATAGACTAGGGAAATTAAGTGACCTGCCAAAGATTCTCTAGTTGATGGCCAAACTAGAAACAGAGATTCTGTCTGTCTCTTGACACCCAATCAAGTATTCCCCCTTCTTCATTGTGCTCCTTCCTCTGTCAGAATCCCACACCTGAGCAAAATGTCAGAATGATACCCCAGTACACTTGGGAAAAGATACACATAAAACGAGAATAAGAACTTGTACAGCCAAGGCACTGACAGCATGGCCAGCTCCAATGGCATGTCCTCTATAAAGACTTTCTTCAACTACTCCATCAGAACAAACCCATACTACCACAGTCCTGGTCTATACTTCTAGTGTGCACTCTTTCATCTTGCCTTATACTATGCTTTATGATCAGCTGTTGGTCAGTTTATCTCCTTTAGAATTTTAAACTCCTAGCCGGGCTCCGTGGCTCAGCCTGTAATCCCATGCCTTTGGGAGGCTGAGGTGAGTGGATTGCTTGAGCCCGCAGGTTCGAGACCCGCCTGGGCAACTTGGCGAGACCTCATCTCTACAATAAATCAAAAAATTAGCCGGCTGTGGTAGCGCGCGCCTGTAGTTCCAGCTACTCGGAAGGCTGAGGCGGAA